TGTGAGTCTCTGGATCCTTGTATATCCTACACAGTGTGAGTCTCTGGATCCTTGTATATTCTACACAATGGGTCTCTGCATCCTTATATATTCTACAATGTGTGTGTCTGGATCCTTGTATATTCTACACAATGGGTCTCTGGATCCTTGTATATTCTACACAGTGTCTCTGGATCCTTGTATATTCTGCAGTATCTCTGGATCCTTGTATTCTACACAGTGTGAGTCTCTGGATCCTTGTATATCCTACAGTGAGTATCTCTGGATCCTTGTATATTCTACACAGTGTGTGTCTCTGGATCCTTGTATATTCTACAGTATCTATGGATCCTTGTATATTCTACAGTATCTCTGGATGATCCTTGTATATTCTACACAATGTGTCTCTGGATCTGATCCCTTGTATATTCTCTGGATCCTTGTATATTCTACAGTCTCTGGATCCTAGTATATTCTACAGTATCTCTAAATCCTTGTATATTCTACAGTATCTCTAGATCCTTGTATACTCTATACAGTGTGTGTCTCTGGATCCTTGTATATTCAACAGTATCTCTTGATTCTTGTATATTCTACACAGTGTGAGTCTCTGGATCCTTGTATATTCTACAGTATCTCTGATCCTTGTATATTCTACACAGTGTGTGTCTCTGGATCCTTGTATATTCTACAGTGTGTGTCTCTGGATCCTTGTATATTCAGTGAGTATCTCTGGATCCTTGTATATCTACACAGTGTGTGTCTCTGGATCCTTGTATATTCTACAGTATCTCTGGATCCTTGTATATTCTACACAGTGTGTATCTCTGGATCCTTGTATATTCTACAGTATCTCTGGATCCTTGTATATTCTACACAGTGTGTCTCTGGATCCTTGTATATTCTACACAGTCTGGGATCTGTCTTTGTATATTCTATGAAGATCCAATAAACAAAACTAAAGATATAACCATGTAAACAACTGACTGAATATGGGAACCCATCCACTCAGTATAAACTCAACAAATATTATGCAAGTGGTTGGAGGGGTATGTATTTAACCACAATGGACGAAACAAGTAAATGCAAGAAAACATGTACCATAAATTCTGTCTAATCTGAGGCACTCACTCAGTTCTGACAGTCATATAACACCATGGTCTTCCTCAGGCTAATCTCACTGTTCATTACAGCTTTCACCCATCTTCCCTATGCAAGGGCATTAACTAACTATAAAAGTCCAGTTTCCACCCTTGCCAAACAAAGCTGGAATTATGGATTTATAACTGGCTGGACTCGTCTGTACATAGTCCAGTCAACAAGGTTGGCATTCAGTTGATAAACAAGATGGAGACTAATGTGCAGATTTCAGTCAATTGCAGGATGTGCAAAAACATGTGAACCACCAACTGGTTTGTTTCGAGAAATCAGGTCCTGGACTATTTTGTTTGAATCAAATGCTAGTGACATCAGATATGGAATCTAATTAAACAATTAGGGGGATATATACAGGACATAAGTTGTAATAGCCATTGTGGTGCTACGATAGAGCCACGAACTTCCAGCCATCAATGGTGGAAACTAGACATTTACAGACAGCTCACTCCCTCTGGGCTGAGTAGTTATTGTTACATCCCTTTAATGTGTGCTGTTAAACATGCTGACTAACAACAAAACACTTCAGACCTCCATTGCAGAGTCTTTGGTATACTCTGTATCTCGCACATCAACTTCTCTCCACAAGAAAGTGATTAACTTTGTCAGGCCTGATATAATCATGTAAAAGCCTAATTAATGAGTGCCTCAGTTTAGACAACTGATTATGACAAACATTTGAAAAATTAATGTAAACAAAACAAATCCAACATAAAATACCATAAAGGAATTGCACATCGCTGGTATCACAACCGATCAACTAAACAATAAATACTTCCGGAGCTGCTAACTAGTTTTTGACAGAGATCTATAACATCTCATTCTGGCTGGAACACTCACTCATGGGTTCTCTATCCAAATATGCAAACATTTGCATCACAAAATGTAGATTTACAATGGCAGATATATTTAAATGGTGCCTTGGCACTATAGCTCCCTCAGATATATTGTACAAAATGTGGTCAAAAAAGTCAACCAAGATATTATCTGCATAAATAATAATGAATAAATATATACGTATAGATATGAAATATGTAACTACATATGAACAAGAACATCTCAATCTGCACCAAAAATGCATTTACCAATTTCATTTATGAATGAACTTTAACGTATTACTAAAATAAAATAAAAAACATTGTTTTTCCAATGTTATCTGCAAAGTAACATGATATGCATTCATATACTCCAGGTTCTCCAGAACAAAAATGTTATAACTTTTGTGAAATTTGAAGTTTTTGACACAGTGCGTTTTTTTCTAAATGGTTGCTTTAGTAGCGATACTGGAAAGTATATGAGAACCTGTTTATCAAGTAAGGGTGTCATCATTGCTGGGAGCAAGCACTGCGACCCCTGCTTCGTCAGGGCAGTGTGTTTGGTGATGGTGAGTGTTGGAGGATGGACAAACAGGCCATCACAAACGCACTGTTGACTTCCAACAGGGGAGCTGAATACATCCACAAGCTGCATGTGTTCAGATGTTTGGTATAAGTTTCCCAAAAAACATGTGAAGATGAAGACTTGAGAACCTGTTAAGAAAGAAGTGTAGATCTCAACTCAATTACCTATCACAATTCCCCATTGTCATTCGGAGCCATTATGTTTACAACTAATTATCATGAACACATTTACAGCACGTAACATTTGCATTCAATATATGTAGGAGTGTACAAGACCTTTGGACTATACACTGTTTTGGATATTCCTTCAAATATACATGTCTAAATGCATTATGGCATCTGCTTTGTAAAACACAACTGGATTACACTGAACAAGTAATGACTGATGTGATGAGAAATCAACAAATGCATTGTTTCTGCCATGACGTAGTACAACATGAAATTAATACCTTAACATTGAACATCTGGTGATTTTCAGCGATACATTCATACAACTTGATCACTATTTTGCAGTTTATGCCCAATGGAATCTGTTGTAGTATATAATCACCACTGATTATTCGCCAGCACTGCCATTTTATATTCAGGAAACATGTCTTGGTTAGAAGAAAAATCGTGTTTGTAAATCAGCTGTTAACTGGAAACATACCGATTTCCAATATTAAAGACATGGAACCTGATTAGCACCTGGGTATAGCTTCAGGTGAGGTAAATGGTATATACAATGACACTTAACACCATACATGACATTCAGCGGGGGGACATGTTGTTCAACTACTTGCCCCTTTGCAGCAAGCTATCCTCAACAGAAATACAAACTGGTATTGTATTTACAAACTATGCTAAAAAGGACTGAATTTTTTTATACATAAAGTTTAATCAGTTTGACACACATATTATTCAATCATTTGTGATTTTCCCCCCGTGACACAGCGTGAGATGAGGTTGAGCAGTGGTAGTTTTGAGACTGTCTCTGCAACACTACCTACATACAAAGCGTGTTCACAGTGATATGTTATCATGTATATGGTTATGTCAGCTAAATGGTGATAGAAAACAAACCCTGCAGTAGAAAATAAGCTTTGTACACCCCAAAAATGGAAAGTGTATTTATAAAGCATCTACTGTTGCAGCAACTAAAGAAAGTATTGTGGCAACAATATGCAGTACACACTGAAGGCATGTCTATCTCAACAGAAATAATATAATATAAAACAAGGACATTCATTTACACAGACTTATTTGTATACTTTGCATGTATAAATGATGTTAATGGGGTTTTTTGGCCAATAAACTGTCCAAATTCACATAACTACCTCAAACAATATACTCATGTTGTGAGGTACTTGGGTCAAAACAAAACAAACGTGTCAAGATCTCAAAAAGAGAAAAAAATGAGCTTGTGTTCTTTGGTCCCACAGCCAGAGAATATTAACAAGCATATTTCACTTAATATCGGCTTCTGAAGACAGTGCGAACTAAAATCCTGGGCTAATACAACTGCTCTGTTCAAGAGTACATTTGTAACAATTTAGCTTCACTGAAAATGTGTCTGTCTTGTAAATGTCTTCTTTCATGAGCCTCCTTCTGCACCATAACACATAATCATCCCACTTCTCTGTGATAATACATAACAAAGAGAAAATATCAAGGTGATAATGACATCCAGACTTCCATCTGATAGTACAGACTTCCATCTGGCTAGAAAAACTCATAATTGGAAATATCATTGAGGGGAAGAATTATCATGAAAATTTTGTCATTGATAATTGCTTCTACATTTTGTTCATAATGCTGTTTTTGTTTGTAATCCCAGCATAAATGTGTCACCTTCACCTGCTTTTTTAATTTTTGTTCAAAGTTGTCTCTCCAATATTCATTGTCAATCTATCAATACTAAGTTACCGAGTATCAATCTCTATTATGTGTGTTAGCCAGCCAAGATAAGAGGCTGCTACAATGTTCTATGACATGTCAGCTGTCATACAGTTAGACATTGAAGTAAGCTATGATGACAACACAATACTATATATTGACTGGTTCCCCTTTCTTTGTTCTCTCAACTGTATAGTTCACAGTTTATTTACCAAGGTGATTGTATGATAAAGTCACAGTACAATCATTTTGTCTGTGTTCAACAGTTAGCATCCTCTAAAACTGAAACAATAAGATTATCAGCCTTGACCAGACCTCTCTTCATTACTTCATTAGACGGAATCTTACAAATGGTAATCAAACTGTAGTGCAATGTATGTGTATGAATAATTAAATAAATAAATGTCAAAAAGATATGTGTGCTCAAAATTATTTCTGTGTCATATGCCCATTATGAAGAAAGATAATTTAAAATTATATATCATATATATTTAAAGATTCAGTGATTTTGTGTCCAAAGATTCAAACCACCTGTTGAAGTGAAGTGCACATAATCAGAGACCATATACCGGTATATGGTCTCTAACATAATCTAGATGCCATTGTATCAAGTAATATAATAGACTGTGGCTAATGGCAGATAACCACAAAAGGAACAAAAGATCAAATATATTTAAAGGCCCATGTGCCTCATTCCCGAAAAAAGCTTTTGCAGTGTGTGTATTTTTAGCATTGAATGTTCTGTATGTTGTAAAGGCATCACAGTTGCTCCAAGTTTACTTTCTCACTAATGGGATACCCACTTACAAAGTGATGCCGACATTTCCTCCCACACAGTTACTCACACTTGATAAATGGATCTTGGATATACAGGCATCCATGCTGTTGATGTCCTCTGTGTCTTTGTGAACTGTAAACTAATGCCATCAAATAGTTTTCCAAAACAACTGTAGAATCTCGAAGGGATGTCTTCTTCTGACATGTTCCTGTCAGAGTTTACTGCTGTTTAACGATGGCCAAGTATGGCACAGCACAGATTCTAAACTGTCTTCAGCTAACTGGTCTGGATTGGGAGAGGTGTCTATTAACCACTTTGTCCAGTCTACATGTATGGGATTTATCTACATAATTTATAATTTTCAATAATTATGTCATACTGCATCTGTAAGAATTACCCTAGATCTGAAAGGATTGCTAAGCACTGTTTGTCAGTTGTTAGACTTGTCAGTGTTAAGACCCTGACGGTCTACTGATGTACCATTATCAGTGGCATCATCAGTTCTTTCTTGTTCTCTTCCTCTGAAATCACTAGGATATATTTTCTTCTTCAGAAAAGATGACATCCAAACAATACTGCTGAGAGATATGTGAAACATGTAGTCCTGCTATAGGTGTCATGGATATTGCACATATATGAACAGATATTCAAGACATCCTCACAGTGCACAGCTGAGTTTCTTCGGCCTTGAAATATTTCCTCAAACCATGGGCTGCTTGGTATCCAGGTCTACTGGGTACATGGCTTGAGGTGTGTATCCAGGCTGGCCATACCCCGGGGCATGAGTGCTGTAGGGGGGAGGGGCCTCCGATGGATGGTACTGAGGGGGGATGGGGGGATACATGCCCTGGTTGGCGAAGTAATCTGTCTGCACTGGTGGTGCTGGGGGAGCTGGAACATAAGTAACACTGTGTTACAGGCAGTCTGTGGGACAGACACACAACATGGAGGTAAAGGCAGTCTGTGGGACAGACACACAACATGGAGGTACAGGCAGCCTGTGGGACAGACACACAACATGGAGGTAAAGGCAGTCTGTGGGAGTGACACACAACATGGAGGTACAGGCAGTCTGTGGGACAGACACACAACATGGAGGTACAGGCAGTCTGTGGGACAGACACACAACATGGAGATAAAGGCAGTCTGTGGGACAGACACACAACATGGAGGTAAAGGCAGTCTGTGGGACAGACACACAACATGAGGGTACAGGCAGTCTGTGTGACAGACACACAGCATGGAGGTAAAGGCAGTCCGTTGGACAGACACACAACATGGAGGTACAGGCAGTCTGTGGGAGTGACACATAACATGGAGGCACAGGCAGTCTGTGTGAGTCGACAGACACACAACATGGGGGTACAGGCAGTCTGTGGGAGTGACACATAACATGGAGGTACAGGCAGTCTGTGTGACAGACACACAGCATGGAGGTAAAGGCAGTCTGTGGGACAGACACACAACATGGAGGTACAGGCAGTCTGTGGGACAGACACACAACATGGAGGTACAGGCAGCCTGTGGGACAGACACACAGCATGGAGGTAAAGGCAGTCTGTGGGACAGACACACAACATGGAGGTAAAGGCAGTCTGTGGGACAGACACACAACATGGAGGTAAAGGCAGTCTGTGTGACAGACACACAACATGGAGATAAAGGCAGTCTGTGGGAGTGACACACAACATGGAGGTACAGGCAGTCTGTGGGACAGACACACAACATGGAGGTAAAGGCAGTCTGTGGGAGTGACACACAACATGGAGGTACAGGCAGCCTGTGGGACAGACACACAACATGGAGGTAAAGGCAGTCTGTGGGAGTGACACACAACATGGAGGTACAGGCAGTCTGTGGGACAGACACACAACATGGAGGTAAAGGCAGTCTGTGGGACAGACACACAACATGAGGGTACAGGCAGTCTGTGGGACAGACACACAACATGGAGGTAAAGGCAGTCTGTGGGACAGACACACAACATGGAGGTACAGGCAGTCTGTGGGACAGACACACAACATGGAGGTACAGGCAGTCTGTGGGACAGACACACAACATGGAGGTACAGGCAGTCTGTGGGACAGACACACAACATGGAGATAAAGGCAGTCTGTGGGACAGACACACAACATGGAGGTACAGGCAGTCTGTGGGACAGACACACAACATGGAGGTAAAGGCAGTCTGTGGGACAGACACACAGCATGGAGGTAAAGGCAGTCTGTGGGACAGACACACAACATGGAGGTACAGGCAGCGTGTGGGACAGACACACAACATGGAGGTAAAGGCAGTCTGTGGGAGTGACACACAACATGGAGGTACAGGCAGTCTGTGGGACAGACACACAACATGGAGGTAAAGGCAGTCTGTGGGACAGACACACAACATGAGGGTACAGGCAGTCTGTGGGACAGACACACAACATGGAGGTAAAGGCAATCTGTGGGACAGACACACAACATGGAGGTACAGGCAGTCTGTGGGACAGACACCCAACATGGAGGTACAGGCAGTCTGTGGGAGTGACACACAGCATAGGGCTACAGGGAGTCTGTGGGAGCGACACAGATGGTAGTGTGACGTGCTGCTACAGACCTGATGGCTGGACCTGTGGTGGAGGAGAGGTGGATGTTGCCTGGTACTGGGGTCCTCTCTTCCGCTTCTTACGTTTACAACAGCAGCAGATGATGGCCACCGCAATGATGATGATGAGCACAATGACTCCGACAATGATTGCCACAAATATACCAATAGATGCAAAAAATACATCCTCTCCAGTGAATGAGGAATCACCTATAACAAAAATATGCCCTTATTTACACAGGTAATGCAGTTTGTATGTTTTGTGGTTACTGAACAAGAACAGAGGGCACTGACTACTTGTATTTAAAAGGCAACATAATGTGCACCCTGTCAATCCTAAATTCAGCTTAATGGGCAATCTTTTTCAATTTATCTTCCCTAAACTAATCCGCTAGATGTGGTGATTCGGACGGTCCAACCTTAAACTGACAGCGCATGTCTCATGCGAGGTGCAAGCTGTACGTGTTATAACTATTACACTTAGAGACAGTTAACCAGTACAGCCTTCACCTTCAGTATAGTACCGTTCACGCTGGTGAATGCACAGTATATCTTTTCCCTTGAACGATGATATATCAAGCGTTATGTGTTGAACTATTTGTTCCATAATTCCATGATACACTTGGGATCATAGATATGATTGCTTACATTACAATAATGAATAGTGAGATGGCCGTACGAAGCAAGGTGGTGGAATCAGATGATCGTTCATTTCAGGGCATGTTTTGTCATTTTGTTAAGTCTGAATATCTCCCTTTTAAACCTGGAGTGTATTTTCAACAGATACTCTAATCTCGTTCGTATTCTGGCCAATTAGGCTATATTCATGCAAATCAGTAAGGCGGCAAGCTGATGCGGTGCGCCAACTGTGACAGTGATGTACAATGCAACATGTGAATTTCATTGGGTCATACATACTGGGATTTGTGACAACAACACACAGATATCCAAGATATTTTTATGGATTAAACTTCTTTTTTTAATTTCTCTCACAACGTTTCGAGACCATTCCAGGTCCCTTCATCAAGTGAACTGGCAGTTAGGACTATGACGTCGTCACTTAGACGTCATAACTTAGCTATGACGTCACAATGCAAGTGACATCACAGTACACTAGGGAGAGTACTGTATAAGTGAGTTTGAAGAGTTAATTACATAATGATGAAATTCATGCTAATACACAACAACTGCTAATAACACAAAGGTTCCTTGATAGCAGGCTTTCCAAAAAGAATAGTAGACTCGTTTTTTCTTGTATCTAAAGTTCATCAAAAGTTAATCAAGAGGTCCCATGCACTTGGCAGGTATACATCTAGATCACGATTAATTGCTGGTTTATGTCTCCTTATCTCGACAGCTTCCTGTAGTTTTCTCCAACGCCAGTCATTGTTATTTCTCGAAATCACCCTAATATCGTTCCACATGATTACATGACTTGGGTTATTTGCCTTGTGCTCCGATATAGCTGACTTATCATTTTGTTTGCATACTGATGACTTGTGTTCAGCAACCCGGGGTGTTAATGGGCCTGAGAGTCTCGCCAATATATTGATCACCACAGCTGCATGGTAGTTGGTATACACATCCTCTAGGGTTGGGGCTTCCATTACTAGATCCTCTTCCATTTGCCCGGAGGAGTGTCTTAATTGCTGTACCGCTAGAGAAAGTTACATCAAAGCCCGCTTTGCTCTTGATTAGTCGGGCTATCTGATGGCTGACTGGTCCCACGTAGGGTATTGTGATCCTGATCGGGATGGTTCAGGCTTGAGGCGCCGGTTCTGATGGTTCAAGCGTTTTGATGATAGTCCTGGAGACAAGACGGGCTGGGTAGCCATTGAGGACAGTAAAGGTTCTCTTGAGGTAATCAATTTCACTGTTTAAATTATCTGGGTGACAGATCGACTTGGCTCTTCTAGTGAGAGTAGCAATAATTGCTTGTTTGATCTGTGGGTGGTGACAGGAGTTGTAATTGATATACTGATCCGTGTGAGTTGGCTTCCTGTACACAGAAGTGACGAGACCTTTGTCTGTAGATTGGAGGGCAACATCTAGGAAAGGAAGTTGCCGGTTCTGCTCAGTCTCCATTGTAAACTTTATCCTCGGATGCTGGTTGTTGAGGTGCTGCAGTAGCTGTGCTGGGTCATCTTGCTTGTCTATGGTAGTGAACGTATCATCTACTTTGCGATACCAGCACAAAGGTTGAAAGGGTGCTGTGGAGAGAGCAGATTCTTCAAAGGAGGTCATATATATTTCAGTGATAAGCGGTGACAATGGTGAGCCCATAGGCAGGCCATGTATCTGTCTATATATCTTGTCATTAAATGTGAAATAAGAGAAATCAAAACAAGTTGTAGCGAGGTTAATGATGCTATTTATCGTGAGACTGGTATCAAGTTCTTTGATTCGAGTCTGGAGCTTGTTCCGGAGAATTTTCAGGGCTTCTTGCAAGTACCCTGGCTTTTGGTGGGTTTTGGTGGGTTCTTTCTACCATAAAAATACACAAGAACCCACCAAAAGCCAGGGTACTTGTCTGTTCACGAGGATCTGTCTTTTACAGCACTGCGCAGCACCTCTCACGCATCCTGGCACCCTTAGGTAAAGATGGGAAGGCATTCATCAGCGATTCATCGGCCTTTATAAGCAAGTTGAAAGAAGATCAACTTTCCGGTATCATGGTCAGCTATGATGTAGTTGACCTATTCACTAACATCCCTTTGCAAGAAGCCCTGAAATTTCTCGAACAAGCTCCAGACTCGAATCAAAGAACTTGATACCAGTCTCACGATATCTTGTCATTAAATGTGAAATAAGAGAAATCAAAACAAGTTGTAGCGAGGTTAATGATGCTATTTATCGTGAGACTGGTATCAAGTTCTTTGATTCGAGTCTGGAGCTTGTTCCGGAGAATTTTCAGGGCTTCTTGCAAGTACCCTGGCTTTTGGTGGGTTTTGGTGGGTTCTTTCTGCACTAAAAATACACAAGAACCCACCAAAAGCCAGGGTACTTGTCTGTTCACGAGGATCTGTCTTTTACAGCACTGCGCAGCACCTCTCACGCATCCTGGCACCCTTAGGTAAAGATGGGAAGGCATTCATCAGCGATTCATCGGCCTTTATAAGCAAGTTGAAAGAAGATCAACTTTCCGGTATCATGGTCAGCTATGATGTAGTTGACCTATTCACTAACATCCCTTTGCAAGAAGCCCTGGAAATTCTCCGGAACAAGCTCCAGACTCGAATCAAAGAACTTGATACCAGTCTCACGATATCTTGTCATTAAATGTGAAATAAGAGAAATCAAAACAAGTTGTAGCGAGGTTAATGATGCTATTTATCGTGAGACTGGTATCAAGTTCTTTGATTCGAGTCTGGAGCTTGTTCCGGAGAATTTTCAGGGCTTCTTGCAAGTACCCTGGCTTTTGGTGGGTTTTGGTGGGTTCTTTCTACCATAAAAATACACAAGAACCCACCAAAAGCCAGGGTACTTGTCTGTTCACGAGGATCTGTCTTTTACAGCACTGCGCAGCACCTCTCACGCATCCTGGCACCCTTAGGTAAAGATGGGAAGGCATTCATCAGCGATTCATCGGCCTTTATAAGCAAGTTGAAAGAAGATCAACTTTCCGGTATCATGGTCAGCTATGATGTAGTTGACCTATTCACTAACATCCCTTTGCAAGAAGCCCTGGAAATTCTCCGGAACAAGCTCCAGACTCGAATCAAAGAACTTGATACCAGTCTCACGATAAATAGCATCATTAACCTCGCTACAACTTGTTTTGATTTCTCTTATTTCACATTTAATGACAAGATATATAGACAGATACATGGCCTGCCTATGGGCTCACCATTGTCACCGCTTATCACTGAAATATATATGACCTCCTTTGAAGAATCTGCTCTCTCCACAGCACCCTTTCAACCTTTGTGCTGGTATCGCAAAGTAGATGATAATGCTTCACTACCATAGACAAGCAAGATGACCCAGCACAGCTACTGCAGCACCTCAACAACCAGCATCCGAGGATAAAGTTTACAATGGAGACTGAGCAGAACCGCAACTTCCTTTCCTAGATGTTGCCCTCCAATCTACAGACAAAGGTCTCGTCCACTTCTGTGTACAGGAAGCCAACTCACACGGATCAGTATATCAATTACAACTCCTGTCACCACCCACAGATCAAACAAGCAATTATTGCTACTCTCACTAGAAGAGCCAAGTCGATCTGTCACCCAGATAATTTAAACAGTGAAATTGATTACCTCAAGAGAACCTTTACTGTCCTCAATGGCTACCCAGCCCATCTTGTCTCCAGGACTATCACCAAAACGCTTGAACCATCAGAACCGCTACCAAGCCTGAACCATCCCCATCAGGATCACAATACCCTCGTGGGACCAGTCAGCCATCAGATAGCCCGACTAATCAAGAGCAAAGCTGGCTTTGATGTAACTTTCTAGCGGTACAGCAATTAAGACACTCCTCCGGGCAAATGGAAGAGGATCTAGTAATGGAAGCCCCAACCCTAGAGGATGTGTATACCAACTACCATGCAGCTGTGGTGATCAATATATTGGCGAGACTCTCAGGCCCATTAACACCCGGGTTGCTGAACACAAGTCATCAGTATGCAAACAAAATGATAAGTCAGCTATATCGGAGCACAAGGCAAATAACCCAAGTCATGTAATCATGTGGAACGATATTAGGGTGATTTCGAGAAATAACAATGACTGGCGTTGGAGAAAACTACAGGAAGCTGTCGAGATAAGGAGACATAAACCAGCAATTAATCGTGATCTAGGTGTATACCTGCCAAGTGCATGGGACCTCTTGATTAACTTTTGATGAACTTTAGATACAAGAAAAAACAAGTCTACTATTCTTTTTGGAAAGCCTGCTATCAAGGAACCTTTGTGTTATTAGCAGTTGTTGTGTATTAGCATGAATTTCATCATTATGTAATTAACTCTTCAAACTCACTTATACAGTACTCTCCCTAATGTACTGTGATGTCACTTGCATTGTGACGTCATAACTCAGTTATGACGTCTAAGTGACGACGTCATAGTCCTAACTGCCAGTTCACCTGATGAAGGGACCTGGAATGGTCTCGAAACGTTGTGAGAGAAATTAAAAAAGAAGTTTAATCCATAAAAATATCTTGGACATCAATGTACAACTTCTAAATGCCACTGAAAGACAACACACAGATAGGTAGATAACTGAGAGAAGTGAGCAACAATGGTCAAGTAATTAAAAAATATACAGTAACTGACAAATTATGTCAATTATAATACAATGTTCAAATATGATAGATAGAATGTTAAAAATAGAGTGCAAAATCACTGAAATCTATATTTTTTGGTATTTGTAAGGGTTTATGGTGCATGATGTATAAAATGATTGTAAGGATATCTATTGCAAAATTCCACAATGATTGCATTTTAATTATCATGAATTCAGGATACATATATCCTTTTTTAATATTTTGAAAAGTAAAATATAATATTTTTTCAGACACATATTCAAGGGTACTTTCCAAATTCCATTTTCATCATATAAATACAAAATATATATTCATACTAATTATACATTTCAATATCTATAATAAATGACACTGTTAAGTGTTGTAAACATCAACTGGTTAACATTTTACTGCAGTGTCTACATACAGCTTGCCTTCACAAGAATCAGATGGTTATAATAGTCATGAAATAGCTCATATTTTAATGTTTAGACCTATCTTTTTATGTTTCCTTGCAGTAAACTGATTTTTTATAGCCACAGCTAGATAGGAGATGGTTTGTTATGGAAAACATATTGTTAACACGTAATGTTACCAAAACAAGAATATACACATGTCATTTCATTCTATCATACACATCCTCTGGTTTAGTCACTATGACCTGTTGTTTGTTGGGACAAATCTCTGTAATTTACTACTTATCTTAAGATTTTTAAATGGTATTAAACTTTTGTAAGAAATGGATTAATAAATTAACATATAATGACTGACAGCACTTACTGATGGACACATTTTATAAGGGATAGAATATTGTGGGTACATTTTTTATTTCCAAGTATGTATGTTATCTCTGCTGCAACCGACTAACTGCTTGGATGATAGGTGTATGGTACTTTAAATAATATAGAGTCAGAATTTAAAAACAATATGAAATGAGATGTGTGAGGAACTGCTGATCAAAACGTCATAGACATATTTATACCCAACTGTCACATTCTGTACGGTATTTCTTCAATTGTCAGGATTGTATAATAATTACAAATCGGTGATAAAGGCCCTCCAGAGGTTGACCGTTGGCTGCAGATGGAGGCGTGTCTTCGATTTTACTACCCTGAGGCTCGTGGTAGTATGAGAACTATTTTGTTAAATTTGAATGCGGCTGAGGAACTATCGTTGGAAATGAAATAAGGGCTGATTATATAGAGTGAGTTCTCATTATTTCATCGACGCTATGTTACCCGAGCTTTACACTGCCTCTTGTTCTGACATTGGAAATGCTGTGACAATATACCAAATTTTCATGGCGTTTTTTTCCATTATCTCCTATCATTTCACTTTGCATTGCACTTGGAGATTAAACAAATGATGCTGTTCAAAACTAACAAAACATGTGTCAGAAAAAGGTATTACGATCTTTTTGTCAATGAAGGTGCAGCAGGGGAACGCGTGAGCTTGGCTCTGTCTTTACATGTAGCAAGTTGTCACAGTGCACTTTGAGTCGGGAACCAGACAAGAAGCGAGAAGTTGGACCATCAGTTTATATCATTTCCAAAGAAGAGTTATCACCCTTCAGAACAAAAAAAAGATTGCCCATTAATTCCACAACAAACACATAACCACATGAAGGAATCAAATTACATGTTTGTTGTGCAAGATGTCCTTCCTGAAGAGTGATGGGATTGTCAGCAACCAACCCAGACAGACATGAGTTGCCAATGATTATTCTAACTACATTGAAGAGATTGTGTAACACACGGTACTGTCTGAATGATACAGTTGGCAAGATTTTCAATCATTTCAAAAAAGGGACTTGTCATTTAACATTAACATGTGAAGAGTTATAATATAGTTATGAGTGTATATTTGGCAAAGTGCAAAATATAGTTTCCAAATTTTGCTAGCCATAATTCACACACCCGAAATTTGAATGTAGAAACTAAGCAAAAGATGACAAACATAGATGAGAATAAGATATTGTCGGCATGACACAGGTTTCATCACTAAGGAGATTTTATGATGAATGATTTTATCAGGCCATGATCTTGCATGATTTAGAAGTGTATTATATTTACTTAACAAGTTGGAGAGAGTGACATAGTTACGAAATATAAATTCACTTGCCAGTCGGGCCAGTGACTGGCCTGACTGGATTTTTACTAGCCACGGGGATAGCAGGCCAGTAGATATTCACACAGATATTTGGCACCCAAATATTGAACTACTAATGAAAACTATCACATGAAGTGAAGACTAAACTTGACTACTCCTAGACCCTACAGGATAAGTTTGGAGTGACTGCAAGATTGTGACTGCAAGATTGTGACTGAAAATTAAGAATTGTTCTGGGCCCCTTTTGAATTCTATTTTATTATTTATTTTTACATAAATATTTTGAAATAAGATAACTATATTTCTGGGACCAAATGTCGATCTCAGTAGAAAGGCTTAATACCAATTAAGAGTTATCTGCCCATTGTTGAACACATGACCAAGCAAGGCTTGATGATTCCTGAAGCATCCTATGAGGGTGTTATGCGGCCTTTTTTTCACCAGCTTTATTTCAGATTTACTTGCCAAGTGCTAATTTAGATACTTAGCTGGAAACACAATACTAGTATATCAACTTTTCAAGATAACCAAACACTGACAATATTATGAATATTGTGAATGCTGAGACTTATGTTAATTTCATATTTTCTTACTTACTGCCATATACTGGATTTATTGTATTGCTGTAGAAATATTGCAAAACATGAAATTCCAATAAAAAATACTCATGTTATAGTGTTAAGCCACGTGTGTTTTGCTTGAATCCCCTTCACACCTGGTAACCCTGACCTTCAGCATCATCAATCCCATGTGTGTTAAGTTTATCTGATCAAATACATATGTTCTAACCTATGCTGTCCTCTACAGGCAGGTGTCCATCACCATTGCTGCTGCCTGAAATCAAATGATTAATTGTGCTTGTGGGTGAGGTTGAACTGAAAAATATCTTCACAGAACTATAACAAACAAAAGCATGAAAGAATATGTTTTACACATAAATCTATACTACAAAATAAACATTTTCCAGCTCTGTTGGTAAAGATGGAATCCCAAAAGTATGTTCACCAAACGTCTCAGGTCAGCATCTGTTTGTGAGGTCAATGTCAAGTTATCCCAATTTGAGCAACCCCAGAAAGTTCTACCCAAGAGGAGGCAATCAATCAGGAATGACAAGAGTTGCCTCCCTTAGGCTAGCTTATCATTTCTTCTGGTTGCTTTCTGAATAAACCAGGGCACTCTCGATATGATGTTCTGTGCAACTGATTGGCTGGTCACTAAGTAAATTAGTTATAGCTCATTCTAGAAGGGAGACAATCTGTCTTTGATCTGTGTAACTCTTGATTAAACTGTGCAGTGGTAGGTTGAGGACACATTCCCGTCATGTCGTCAGGGAGAATAACATCAAGTCAGGAGAACACAATGGTGCAGTGGGACTGGTTGAGGACACATCCCCATCATGTCGTCAGGGAGGACAACATCAAGTCAGGAGAACACAATGGTGCAGTGGTATGTTGAGGACACATCCCCGTCATGTCGTCAGGGAGAACAACATCAAGTCAGGAGAACACAATGGTGTAGTGGTATGTTGAAGACACATCCCCGTCATGTCGTCAGGGAGAATAACATCAAGTCAGGAGAACACAATGGTGTAGTGGTATGTTGAGGACACAACCCCGTCATGTCGTCAGGGTGAACAACATAAATTCAGGAGAACACAATGGTGTAGTGGTATGTTGAAGACACATCCCCGTCATGTCGTCAGGGAGAACAACATCAAGTCAGGAGAACACAATGGTGTAGTGGTATGTTGAGACACATCCCGTCATGTCGTCAGGTCGGAGAACACAGGTGTAGAATGTTGAGAACATCAAGTCAGGAGAACATCAAGTCAGGAGAACACAATGGTGTAGTGGTATGTTGAGGACACAACCCCGCCATGTCGCCAGGGAGAACAACATAAATTCAGGAGAACACAATGGTGTAGTGGTTGATGTTGAAGACAACATCCAGGAGAACACAATGGTGCAGTGGTATGTTGAGGACACATCCCCGTTGTCAGGGAGAACAACATCAATTCAGGAGAACACAATGGTGCAGTGGGACTGGTTGAGGACACATCCCCATCATGTCGTCAGGGAGGACAACATCAAGTCAGGAGAACACAATGGTGTAGTGGTATGTTGAGGACACAACCCCGTCATGTCGTCAGGGAGAACAACATAAATTCAGGAGAACACAATGGTGCAGTGGGACTGGTTGAGGACACATCCCCATCATGTCGTCAGGGAGGACAACATCAAGTCAGGAGAACACAATGGTGCAGTGGTATGTTGAGGACACATCCCCGTCATGTCGTCAGGGAGAATAACATCAAGTCAGGAGAACACAATGGTGTAGTGGTATGTTGAACACACATCCCCGTCATGTCGTCAGGGAGAATAACATCAAGTCAGGAGAACACAATGGTGTAGTGGGACTGGTTGAGGACACATCCCCGTCATGTCGTCAGGGAGAATAACATCAAGTCAGGAGAACACAATGGTGCAGTGGTAGGTTGAGGACACATCCCCGTCATGTCGTCAGGGAGAATAACATCAAGTCAGGAGAACACAATGGTGTAGTGGTAGGTTGAGGACACATCCCCGTCATGTCGTCAGGGAGAACAACATCAAGTCAGGAGAACACAATGGTGTAGTGGTATGTTGAGGACACATCCCCGTCATGTCGTCAGGGAGAATAACATCAAGTCAGGAGAACACAATGGTGTAGTGGTATGTTGAAGACACATCCCCGTCATGTCGTCAGGGAGAACAACATCAAGTCAGGAGAACACAATGGTGTAGTGGTATGTTGAGAACACATCCCCATCATGTCGTCAGGGAGAATAACATCAAGTCAGGAGAACACAATGGTGTAGTGGTAGGTTGAGGACACATCCCTGTCATGTCGTCAGGGAGAATAACATCAAGTCAGGAGAACACAATGGTGTAGTGGGACTGGTTGAGGACACATCCCCATCATGTCGTCAGGGAGGACAACATCAAGTCAGGAGAACACAATGGTGTAGTGGTAGGTTGAGGACACAACCCCGTCATGTCGTCAGGGAGAACAACATCAAGTCAGGAGAACACAATGGTGCAGTGGGACTGGTTGAGGACACATCCCCGTCATGTCGTCAGGGAGAACAACATCAATTCAGGAGAACACAATGGTGTAGTGGTAGGTTGAGGACACATCCCCGTCATGTCGTCAGGGAGAATAACATCAAGTCAGGAGAACACAATGGTGTAGTGGTATGTTGAAGACACATTCCCGTCATGTCGTCAGGGAGAACAACATCAATTCAGGAGAACACAATGGTGTAGTGGTAGGTTGAGGACACATCCCCGTCATGTCGTCAGGGAGAATAACATCAAGTCAGGAGAACACAATGGTGTAGTGGTATGTTGAAGACACATCCCCGTCATGTCGTCAGGGAGAACAACATCAATTCAGGAGAACACAATGGTGCAGTGGGACTGGTTGAGGACACATCCCCGTCATGTCGTCAGGGAGAATAACATCAAGTCAGGAGAACACAATGGTGTAGTGGTAGGTTGAGGACACATCCCTGTCATGTCGTCAGGGAGAATAACATCAAGTCAGGAGAACACAATGGTGTAATGGTATGTTGAGGAAACATCCCTGTCATGTCGTCAGGGAGAATAACATCAAGTCAGGAGAACACAATGGTGTAGTGGTATGTTGAGGAAACATCCCCGTCATGTCGTCAGGGAGAATAACATCAAGTCAGGAGAACACAATGGTGTAGTGGTATGTTGAGGACACATCCCCGTCATGTCGTCAGGGAGAATAACATCAAGTCAGGAGAACACAATGGTGTAGTGGTATGTTGAGGACACATCCCCGTCATGTCGTCAGGGAGAATAACATCAAGTCAGGAGAACACAATGGTGTAGTTGTAGGTTGTCGTCAGGGAGAACAACATCAAGTCAGGAGAACACAATGGTGTAGTGGTAGGTTGTCGTCAGGGAGAATGACATCAAGTCAGGAGAACACAATGGTGTAGTGGTAGGTTGTCGTCAGGGAGAATGACATCAAGTCAGCAATAAGCAGCACATGAAATCTGGACTGAACACAATCAAGTACACAGCATGCATAATTTAAACATTTTACAGATGGTATACTCACTCTCTTGTATATGAATTTGGAAATTGTAATTTTTATTCTTATTGAGTTTCTCCTTCGTCAAGTCGACAGTGACATATCTAGCTCCAGTGCACATCTGCTTTGGACTGTCATCTCCACATGATAATGTCCGCTGTAAGTAAATACATAAGAATTTATGCATCAGAGTAGGCTAGAAACAAAAGTTTTGAATATACAATTGGCAGTACGATGGTTAAGTCAGTCAGTGAAATATAATTTTATAGCAAATCAGATGAGAACCTTTTGAACAAAATATGTTTCAATTTCATGGTTAGTTTGTAAGCAGTAAATACATGCTGTGCCCAGATGACAGCCTGCCATGAAATGAGTTCCCTCAACAAGCTGAGCTGGAAAGATGGCTTCAAGTGCTAATTCAAACGTATCAGACCAACATACCCAGGACCTTCCTGATGATGTGTTCTTGTCAAATATTTTCAATTTCACTGTACAGTCATTGATATGAAACTGGTCAAATGTAATACAGATGCCATGTCCTGAACGGGCTCGGAATGTCAAATCACAAATCAGAGTTTCATGACGAAAATTTCCTCCTTTGGCATTCACAGTGTACTTTTCCCCATCCAAGTTGAAGTCCTTCGTGATACAGTGAGCATATTCATTCATGTACACTGAAAGTAAAACAAAGCAGAACGTAAACAATTCTGAAAGTGGGCAAATTTGGGGACATGACATCTTCATAACAGCAAACAAGGTGAGTTATCTTTATACAGTAATCCCTCGCCATAACGCGGGTCTTGAGGTCCATGGAAGACCAACTTTGTAAATGAAAATAGATATATGTACAGGAAACTTGCAAGCAAACATCACTTGACATGATAATTTAATTGTTGTTTCTGTTATGCTACCTGTTATTCAACTAAGCTGGAAATAGCAATCAGCTCACAGTGCTCACATGTTTTGGTCCAATGTACCGGTGATTCAGTTAGACAATTTATATATTAAGCAGTTATTTTAACAGAGATAATCTATATTGCTATATTGCTATCGTATTAGTATAATGCATGTTTTCTACGAAAATATTTAACATAATAATTAACATAGACTCAGCATTTAGGGTTACGTCACCAGTGACTTCCCGTGGTACGTGCCACTTTGATTGTAAAACCAAAATAATTTTTATTTATTTATTACCATTACAAATGCCAGTACATACCTGTAACAGCTTGAGCACCAATGAGCAAATTGACACAGATGAATCCAATAGTGATGTTGATGTAATCTGGCAAGGTCATGGTCATTTGAAAGAAGCTGTTGGTCCGGAACTGTGGTTCAATCTCATGAGATCAGTTTTGTCATGGCGAGGAAGCTTGTTCAGGTTCTGGTTCTCCGATCTGAAACTGAATGGGAAAACCTAATTTACTAAAACTAGCCTCAGAATGTCTTAAAAGGCATAAACAACTGATGTTACTGCAATAAGAGGACAACTTGTGTCAGACCTCAAATGTTACACAAAGTACAACTGTATATTGAAAGTGTAATCAATTAGGCAAGCTGTATATATTTTATATGTTTTTGCCAGTTCAACCAATCTGCCACCAGTGATTAAACCGATAATGACCGAAATGAGGAGTAAGTGAGTGAGTGAGTTTAGTTTTACGCCGCACTCAGCAATATTCCAGCTCTATGGCAGCAGTCTGTAAATAATCGAGTCTGGACCAGATAATCCAGTGATCAACAACATGAGCATTGATCTGTGCAACTGGGATACGTTGACATGTGTCAACCAAGTCAGCGAGCCTGACCACCCGATCCTGTTAGTCGCTTCTTACAACAAGTATGGGTTACTAGTCTGAAGATCAATTCTAACCCGCATCTTCACGGGTTACTTGGACTTTAACCGAAATGAGGAAGTCTTATATAATATCAAAAGCAAGTGATAGAACTCAGAATGTCACTGAGTTCTTATACTGACATGTTTACTAACATATACCCTGGAGAATAAAATATGTAGATTTCAGTACCACAATAAACAGGACAGGCCATATCCTCTGAGCCCTACTTCATCCGACAATCAGCTTCTCCATTAGTGTACATGCAGACTTCTAGATCCTAATTATTTCAGGGCCATATTCATTGACATAAAAAAGAATCACAACAATTCTAACTTTACAATCAGCATGAATATTGTTCTTCTTGCTTTCTCTACATTTCCTGCCTGTTTCTCTGCAGATTTCACCATACACACTTACTTGTCATCCATAATATTTGTGTTTTACTTGAATATTTCAGATGCAAAAATAGTCAAAATGTTTATGCTTCTGAATAAGCATGTAAGCACAAGACTGTACATTGAAAATTATGGAGAAATCCATCTTTATTTCAAGGAAAACGTGAATTTGACAACACTGTTACCTTGATATGATTGTCCCTATAATATTCTTCAGTAGTTGTCAGTAACTTCCATGAAAGGCATGAAGCACTAGAGGTCACAGCAGTAATACAATGTCTCAGTGGTAAGGGTCTGCTTTCTCCAACCAACACAAACACATCTGGTAAATGTAAATAATGGCTGCTAGATAATAACTTAAAATCTGTAAGGTCAGATGGCAGTGCTGTTTGGTCTAACTGTGCTAACATTGCATAATCATCAACATTCAGCCTCAGCATGGATTTACTTCCATCAGTAGGTTGATTAGCAGACATTTTATGGGTTTTCCTCAAACATACAATTAATTTCATATTCCCTGCATGCATCAACACACTACTTGCCATGGATGTGCTGTTGTCAACATCTGCCAGGCTTGTCATGCTCATTTATAGATTGGTTTGGCTTGATATAACACATTCATTCATATGATCATTGCGAAGCACATAGTTTGGTTGTAAGTGTAAATTTCGGAGGAAAATGCTTTTGCTTCAGGCCTTGTCTGCTTGAGCAAGCAGTCAATATCAATGTAAGTTAAAAGATAAAAGAGGACATTACAGGATAATTGTCATGAGTCCTTTATACATTAACATCTCATAGCATTACAAATATGTATATATATATATATATATATATATATAGATAGATAGATAGATAGATAGATAGATAGATAGATAGATAGATAGATAGATAGATAGATAGACAGATAAATATATAGATTGATAGATAGATAGATAGATATAGATGTGTGTCACCACATTTGTCACTCCATTTTCATGTAACATTTAGGCAACTGGGGACTAAACGATCCTTAAAAATCATTCAAACATATGACCATACAAAACCTCACTTACAACGATGTTCCCACAAAGATGTCTGTAGATCACCCAGTATCACCTGCACACCATTGCTAAATATTATGGAAGAATAAAGTATTCTGGTTCAAAATGAAAAATATTTAAATGAAAGTAGGGCCACCAACTTTGTATTCACTTGGGGATTCAAAACACCTGCTTCAAAGTTCATGCTTGTTAGATACTTTGAAGATGATGGGGTGTTCTATGGCTGTTTGGACTCGGCTCTATGCTTCAATGATCACTTCACAAAGGAACTGACATCACAAGTGATCTCAGCAGCTGTATTCAATGTCAAATACAATGTCTGTTCATCAAAACAATGTTCATGACAAAACAATATGCTTGTTTCACAACATGCATAATTTAAAATGATAAGCTACAGACTTGCCCCAGCACACTTCATTTTTACTTGGTCATCCTACACTCTGCAAGTCACCCACTCTGGGCATCTTCAAGGATAATTATTCACATTGTTTCTGCCAAAATAACTTTTGGGAAAAGCTTCAACTCGCAAGTCACTGGAAGATTATTCTTACAAACCAAAGTTATTTTTTAATGAGTAAATGAGAAGACTCTGGAACATGCAAGTTAGTACCAGACCAGAGAAACACGTTTTTGTAACACAGACATGATCAACATTGACTTGTCTGTCGTGGACTCCTAAGCAATGATGGTCAAAGTAATGTCTTCTGACATACAAGGAATCATGTTTGAATGGCCTGTACGTGTTTTAACAGATAATCAACTTTGAAAGGGTGGTCACAGATGCCCCAGTAATCTGGAAAATGTCCAAATATTGGGTATCATCACCAATGTGTTAGCTTAGAAACTGGTAGAGTATTACAAAACACATACATAGAGTGTTCAAATAATGAGCACAGCATGCACATTGACCATCCAAACATGACATTCAGACTATCATGTTTTTGGCCATATTGTAATGCATGGCTTGGATGTGTTTCAATGAGAAGAAATAACACATATACTACTGTTTATTACATTGTCCAGCACTGACTGTCCCAGAACACCACTGACCAATCACCCTGTAAGGGGTGGACTTGAGTGTTTCCAGCTGAAGGACTGGTGATGACCTAATGCCCCATTTCCCCTCAACCTGTATGCAGCTGAATACACGGATGTCAGGGTATTGATTTTTGTGGTCTTCCTTTGTTTCATGCCGAAAGAGGAAGAACATGTGAAAATGTCAGCAAAAATCCATACAAAGACAACAATCTTTTTCAAACAATTTCTGGAATGAACATAACAAATTATATTACAATCATGAACACACATCAAGTTTGATCTGTGGATAGTGTGGACATTAATGAGCTTGGCAGAGTTGGTGTAAGACTGCACAGATTGTTTTGTTTGGGATGGTCAAAATAAAGGTTGAATTTATGCAACCAGAGACAATTAAATATTGTATGGTCTCTGATTCAAATCAATATTATTAAACTTACCTGGCAAGGTGTAGTGTTGGTCTTATTCTGTTGTTAGCATGTTCAGTGAAAATGATTGATATTTGTTCGCATGTTTATAGTAACATGAATATGTGTTACTGGTGTTTTAGTGTTGACTAAAGAGGATGCTGTCAGAAACAAACAGACAAAGAACACTTGCAACTGTATCATACTGGTTTTGTGTTAATCTGGTATGTCCTTGTATAGCTATTCAGACCGGATAACACCCACTTACAAGCAATGCTTTGTACTCATGATTTGCAATTTGCTGTCTGTGTACACTGGTGTGTACTGGGAACAATTACCGTGTTAATCTGCTGCTGCATTCACGCAGCCTACTACAGCGTGTGTGGTGGGCTGCATGGGGAATTACCACACTGTACCAACATGGACCTTGGGGATTCACACCACGGTTGGCATGTGCAAGCACATTGTCCATCTTCATGTTATTTGTTCAAGTGAAAATATTAATTTGTTTCCAAACATGAGACTGATCACTGCTACTGGCATAATGATACAATGGCCATTGAACTACACAATGCTCATCTGTAAAGAGTTACATATTATTGAAAATAATACAAAAACTTACTTGTGAAATGGAACATAATCCATTATTTCACAGTCATATATATCTCTTGTTATAGTGTTATTCAAAATCTGAAGTAACTCAGAAATTACATGCACTTGGTCCAAATTTCCTGAATGTATTCTTATATATATATATTTTACAATTTGTGTCCATACATGAATTGACAGTATTCAAAATCTGATATCAGTATTCAAACATCAGATATTACATAAAAAAAAGACTATCATGTTTAGTGTGTGTGGTGTCATTCTTGACTGAGAAGTCATCAAATCAGCACACAACATGTTTCCATGACACCCTCCCTTATAGCATGTATTTTAATTAACATGTATATTAAATTAATGTTCATATTTATTACTTTTTATTTGCAAAAATATAATTATGTCATTTTCTCAAGTTCTCATGAACCATGAAACTGGATTTCAAGTTAATGACCACATAAAAATCACCCCAACATGCATTGTGCAATCATTAAAACTGACATATTCTGGCCAGACACTGAAGGTATTTTGAGTATAGAAAATGGAAGGGTCACAGATGGTCTTCAGTAAGGTTTCAGGAGCTATGAGTCTTTCCCCTTTCACATCTCCAGCTGTCTTTGGGGAATTGATTCAGACCATGTCATGTGACCAATCAGGGGGACATGACTCATGCTATGACCTAACAAATTTCGAACCCTCCATGCAACTGAGACTTCAGTCATATTAATTTGTTCCATGTTCTGCTTCCAGTACAACTTCCTGGTGACCAGGTCCATGACTGTACAGGATTCCACCACAACTTATGGTATTGAGCTCTCCTGTCCAATATAAGCCCATCCTGCAGGCTGTCACACACAACTGTTAAATGCTTTCCGTATTCATAAAAATGATTAAAGCAACAACAACATTAACGTGAAAGTTATCTCTCAAACAAAATAAAAATGTCAATAAAAGTAGACTTGTGATGTCTGACATTAGCATGGGCAATATTACTTCCACTTTCCTCTGTCTGCTAAGGCCTGGAAGGGACCACGTCTTGTGCTTCTACAGGAGATGTCAAATAGGTAGGATTTGCTTTATACATA